ACTAATCGGCGGCGAAATAGTGAACCAGGTATGTAAGCAACTGGCACTTGGTATAACGGTTAACGTCAGCCGAATCTGAGGACTTGATCCGCCAGAGCAGACTAGACCAGCTGTTATTTTGGTTGTTAATTCACATAAGAGTTAAAAAGCAATTTGTAGGAGAGAACTGAAAAAAAGGGGGCGGGAGAAAAAAGTGAATTACATTTTCCGAAGTTGGATATATGGCCGCCAAGGCCTTTTTCTAAGTCCCCGTGATGTATTTTGTTTCTTCTAAAAGGATGTATTCACCTGATCCAGATGCCGTTAATAGATTTAACTCAAAGTATCCTCCTCAGAAATAATTTTCCTCTCTAGGATCTTAGCCATATAAAGTTTTAGGCATCCCTTGGTTTACTGCTCAAGTGTGATTAGACAACTTACACCTTATCTGACGTTAATAGTAAAACTAACAATCAAATATAATAATGACCAAAACAGCAACAATTCGAAGCTATGTAAAATATTAATAAAATAATTACAAACTCAAGTCTTCGTATACACAGCGAAAAAGTTCCAGGGGTGTTTTCAGTGCATTTTAAACACAAGAGACAATCAGGGAAAAATGGAGGCAAGAAGGTTGAAGGTCAAAAATAGTCTGGAACTTCTCCACACAAGTTCGATTATTTTAGATCATTTTCTCTCTCCGTTTAAGTTTATGTTTTGTACTAAATAGGCTGCCGTAACACGCTAAAGATTCATTTACTAAACCCTCACATCCACCATCGACTTTTCTTTCCCCAGAAATGGGTAACGCGCAGTGAAATATGCGTACCATTTATATCCCCGGAGACTGCTTTCGATCTTGCCGATCTATTGAACCCGGCAATCTTTTTAAACGCGGTCAGACAGCAGACGGCTCGTCAGAGCAAGGTACCCATCGACGAGCTCAAACTCGTTTCAAAATGGCCGTCTAGTAAGCTGTCTCAGGGAACTGTTAGTGTACAGGCTTTGCGAATAACCGGACTCCAGCTTGAGGGTGCTTGCTTCGAAGGAGGAAAACTGGCAGACTGCAAAATCACCTCTCCCACTATAACGGAACTGCCCGAACTTATTCTAGAATGGACTCCGAAGGTAAGCCGATCACGAGATCTTTATCTCTATGTACATAATAGGCTGTGCATGCAATTTTGGGGCATTTAGATGGGCAAATGACTCCAGATTTTGTCCAAATAAATGTTTTTTTTTTCGATAATTGTAGTCTGGCCTGCGTAATGTGGATTTTTAGTTTTGATTTCTACGCCGTGACCAAGTCGAGCCTTTCTTTTGGTGAAAGAAGAAAGCCCTGCATTCAGAGGCGACAGCTGTCTAGAAGGCGTTGACGCATGTTTCTCTTATCGACGGAGTGAGATTAGTTACAGGGTATGGGCTCAGACATCAAAAAACGATATAAGGGTTTCTAAAAAATTATTTAAAACCTACCGTTTATATCTGCTAGACCCTCACTGATCAGGGGCATCCTGCCCTTGGACTCCAACAGACAAATGGAAAGTATACTTTTGAACTACGATGGTAACTTGTCAAAACTTTGGTTTTGGGCAAAAAATTTGCCCCAGCAAAGTTTTTCGTGAGACAACTGGTGTTACCCCTGCGTGGAAAAAGTGTATTGGGTTGTTGGAGAAGATATAAACAGTTTCTGATCTTAACAGTAATTGATCGAGACTAATTTGCACAATTGAGAAGAAGGAAATGCGATCTCGTGGCGAAGACTTTTATTCGCCTGGCGTTTCGAAATCTGTCGCGGATTCTTCATCAGGGACATTAGCAGAAACGGGTAATTCATGCACAGGGAGTTGCAGTATATATAGGATATAGTCATTAGGATATTGCACACTTAAGACAACGACTCCTCTATCGATAGTAATTGCCCCCTTGTGAACTAATTGTTTAATGACCAGCGTGCGGACCGTAACCTGCTGAACTTTAATCACCCGTGGTGGAATTGGACGTGGTGATTTCTCGGCCATCTGGTTCCCCGCCTCTACGTTCCCCAAGTGGCAACTTGTTTTGGCCAAATTGAGCCTCAGCACCGAGTATGGCATGGGTAGGTCGTTGCACGTGTTTATAGACTGGGGGCCCACGACTCAAGTAATTCGCGATGCCCACACGATTGTCACCTCTTGCGATAGTTTCGGCCGAAATCCGCCTGAGCCGTGAGCTGCTCGAGTCATGTTTCCCACGCCCACAGTCAGTCAACGAGCGCAACGAATTGCCGTTGCCGTATTGAGACATTGTCCGAGCAGGAGAATCAGTAACGAAGGCAGGGCCGGCTCCAGCAACAACTGCGATGACAACTACCATAATTGTCTCGTAATTATCAGACCCGCATCCAACACGGACAATGAAATCGCGGTGATTAATGTTTTGAAATCGGACTGCCAAGCTATCACCGCACTAATTACGACTTCCAGCGGTGGTTACGGCAGTTAATAATCATAGTGCGCATGCGGATGGCCGCTTCGAGCTATAAATACTGCGTTATCTCTGCATATATTACCCTAACCTGTGCAGGTATCATGCTATTCTACGGTTCCCTCTGACGAAGGGTTCTCTACAGAATCCGAAACGTCAGGCGAATAAACTCCTTGTTCCAGCGATCGCATCTTTTACTTCTGAGTCGGAGGAGTACATGACCATTCGCAAGGGTGCCCGTGTGGAAGTGGTGTGATCGTGGCAGTCGTCACAGTGAGCTCCTGTGGTAGTCAGTCACGGTGAGATGATTGACTAGACTGGATTGGGGTAGGCAGGCACTGGCGCTTACGCACTTGCTAGCAGCCTTGGAGCGGTTGAGCGTGCACGCGGAGTGGAGTCACTACAAGTTCTTACTTCAGCCCAATCTTCGCCATTATCGGGGAAATGTTGTATGGTGTCAATTTCCAGTCCTAGCAACGCACGGAAACAGCAGCCGGT